ATGCTGAATTAAAAAAATATGAAAGAAAGTAGTTTCTTGAAGAGAGAAGGAAGAGAGAAGGAGAAGAAAATAAGAGAAGTTGAAAGAAAAGAGAGCAATAATCTATCCGCCCCCTTCACTTATTATTTATACTAAAATAATAGAACAGTACAAAGACAACTATGCCCTTATAGGGCAGCAAAACATAAAACAGCATATATAACACTCAAAAAACATAATAAAATTTAGGCTGACATAACTACTGTGGTCCCCACCTCCTATCTAGCAACTAACATAAAACATCTACTCAGAAAAACATCATAAAACTAATTAATCTTCAATACAAGGGATCCTATTACCTGAGATAGAAGCATGAACTGGGTTTACTATGATAAAGTGCTATGGACTTGAGCAAGAATGCTGCATTACATTCCCAAACTAAGCATGTTGATATTTGTTATCTTTGGATACATGATGTCTTAGGGAACCAATTGATGCAGGTTGAGAAGATTCACACTTATAAGAGTCCATCTTATATGATGATGAAAGTGGTTCCCAAACATGAGTTGTGTGGAATGCTAACTAGGATGGATGCTAGATGAGTATCCTAGTTGTTTATATTCCCTCCTCATGGGACTGGAGAGGGATATTGTTGAGGTACACCGTGGGTTGAACCCCTTGAGATCTTCTCACTTAAGTGGAGAGGAGGGGCAAGACAGTAATTTCCTCTCTAGTCTCATAATGGTCTTGTTTTGAAAGGAAGAGAAGAGGGAAATGTATGGGATTCTTATGGTATTCTCTTGGATTCAAAATAAAGTAAGGTTTTCTTGGAGAAGTGGGTTAACTGTGAAGGCTCATACCACAGTACGTATCTGCTATCAAGGATCTCCAAGGATTGTTTCCAAGAGATTCTGCTTCCTTTCGAGGTGAGAAGTATTTGATTTTCTTTGTCGAGTGTAATCCACCTTTATTGGTGAGAAGCTTGGATTATAACCAAGAGGGTTTCTTCTCTTGATTCTTTGTTTCCTCTAGCTGCTTCTGGAGAGGTGTTTTGCATACCCATTATCATCATTATAGTGGATGTGGACATTTTTTGGACTTTAGCTCTGTGGTTTTTCTTCTTCAAATTAGAGAGGTTTTCCACATTAAAATTGTGGTGTGTGCTTGTTTCTTATTTTGCTGCAGTTTATTTTTTGGCTTGAATACTGTTTATTATTGTTGTTGTATTGCCTTTTTCATGCCCGGTTTGAGCTAGAAGGGAGAAAAAATGATTTTTGTGCAACCCTGAAAATTGCCTAGAAATACTTCATATTGATGCAAAATAGAGTATTTCGGAGGCAGAATACATCATTTCAAGCACAAATCAGAGTGTTTGCAGAACAATGCCCCAAGCAGAGAACTTGAGCATTATGGACCATTTTGTTCTTTTCCATATCAGTGTTTTTGCCCCAACCACCTCATTTTTTTTCTGTGTTTTATTTTCTATAACCAAATCTCTCTATGTTGTTACCACCTCAATTGGTAAACATATTTAAGTGAACTGCCACTTTATCCAAGATCAATATTGTGCGGTTTTATTGGAATTCAGATTATATGAACGCTTTAGCTGTGTAGCAGGCTGTGGAACCAATGATAACGCTCCACACCAGTGATAAAATACGTGGAGTCCACACTGAGAGGTTGAATAGTTGTTGGGCCCATGTATTTATGACTGGTGTGGAGTGTTATTATTGGTTCCACAGCCTGCTGAACAGCTAAAGTGTTCATCTAATCCTATCTCGTTTTATTGCTCTTTCTCACATGGCAAATGACTATTGAATTGTTGACATATTTATCAAGGCTACAGCCAAATCATACTATGATTTTCTTATTGACAAACTACTTCTGTCACCATTATCAATTTTAGGGGGAATATGAAGACAATGGCTGGGAACAGACTTTTTGTATTTTATTTTAATCTGTCTAATTTATTTATTTTTTCTTTGGTCCCTGTATAGGGACTATTTTGTAATTTGCATTGATAAAGGAGTTCCTTGTAAATGTTTGATTAAATTGGACTTACCCGAATTTTTGTTCTAACTTTTTCTGCTCTTCATGCCTTGTGCTTGTGATTATCTGAAATTGGATTTCAAGGAAATAACATCCTTGTTGGTTTAATCAATAAAGGATTGACAGTCAGAACAATTTGAGGGCATAATTTGCTACCAATATGGTGGAACACATTGCATCAATAATATGATTACTTCAGAATTGAAAGATGTTTACAAGCATTGTACTTTGGTCTGATCCATGTAATTTCCTAGTGCTTGCGACTATACTTTAACGAGTTTTAGCCATATTCTGATTTTCTTTTTTGTGAATTTATTTCTTCTAGGTGATTGGTTTGCATGGTGGTGCACTGCTTGGTGTTTCATATCGAACGTCGCGGAGGATAAGCCCTGGGGCTGCAACAGCTATTTCAACAATTCAATCAATGCCATTATCTGGGTTTGGCAATTCTGGCCTTTCTTCTTTTACTGCAGCTGATGATGCATTTGCTTCGAACAGATCTGTTGTGGAAGCAGCACCTCAAAACTTTCAACTGTATAGGTGCTGGAAGATAACTGCTTTTCCTTTTAAATTCTTGTTATTATTTACTACTATTTTCTTTGAAAGTTTATGTTTTCAGGTTTAAGAATCAGAGTGCTTTTGTTTTGTTGATGTTGCTATGAATGCTTCCACTTTTTATTTATGCTGTGTTTGGTTGCAATGCAAATAAATTTGCGCTGATGCAAAATTATGACAATGCAAATGATTTTATGCCCCATTCGCTTTTTAGTAAGTTATTTACCCGGGTAAGTCTTTCCTGGGAAACACTTACCCGGGTAAGTGCATTTACCCATGTTCTTTTATTTCCCATGCAAACAAGACAATGACCATTTTAGTCATAAAATCCATTATTACAAGGGGTATTTTTGTCCCATTCAAGTGTTGGCAACTTTCCTCTAAGGTGGGAAAGTTATTTACCCACCTAAGGTAAGTAATACCCAGGAAAATAAACTTTCCCTGGTCCCCACATAATCTGAAAAAAGAACATGGGATTTTTGGTCAATGGGAATCAAAATCCCATTGACCAACTTTCCCCCCTCTCAAAATCCAGAAAAAGAACGCCCCTTAGTGTAAATTCTGACCTATTTTTGTATCAAATTTTAGCTTATTTTATTTGATTGCAGTACTAATGAAGTAAATTAAGACATGAAGCAGAATAAAATAATACCCAAAACAAAATTAAATGAGAATTTTCATTTTTTTTTCATTTGCACTCCCATGCATTTGTACTAGTGCAAATAAAATTACACTGCAATCAAACACAGCCTTAGTTTCATTTAATATTTTACCATGCTTAAGTTTGCATCCTGTATGTTATGGTATTACCACATACTGTATCTTGTGTCCTTTTTGTTGTGCATGTCTTTTGTTCTATCTTGTTAATTTATTTTAATCAGTGTTTTAAAAGGTGTGGGAGGCATATGCCTGGAGGTGCACCTCCAAGCGAGGTACCCCCAGAATGCCCTGAGGTGTATGCCTTATATGCCTTTTGAATGAGGTGTGCTAGAGGTGTACGCCTCATGAACCTCATGCACACGTCATACAGAAAAAAAAAAAAGGAAGAAGGAAGGGAAAGGAAAAGAAAGTGAAGGGAAAGAAAATGAAAGAAAAATATAGAAGAAAAAAAGAGAAAAGGAAGAAAAGGGAAGGGAAGGAAAGAAATTGAAAAAAAAAAAGAGAGATGAGATCCTCCTTCCTCCTCATCCCCCCTCCCCCCTTCTTAAGGAGGCTTGTGCCTCTTGCGTTCTGAACTACACCCTACGCCTCCAAGTAGTGGAATGCCTCGCATCACACCTCCACATTTTAAAACATTTTTTTTTTTGGAAAGGTAAGGTAATTTATTAAAATAAGAACCAGTACAAAGGAGCCTAGGYCATTAGAGGCTGCCTAGAGCCTCCGCAAATTACAGATACTACCAGTTCTGAGATCTAAACAACAGACTCAAATTCTGATTTTTAAACAACTCCACGTTTTAAAACATTGATTTTAATTGCTTGTTGTGATAATGGATATCTTCTATGAATTTATCTTTGGGTATCTGTTTCTGATTAATTAGTCAAAATTTTGCAGCTGGGAAACTTTTCAACCTGTAAGTGGGCTTCTTTCACAGCCAGAATGGACTGCATGGGACCAAACTGTTGAGTATTGTGCTTTTGCGTACCACCAGTACATTGTCATCTCTTCCTTGCGCCCTCAATATAGATATCTAGGGGATGTTGCCATTTCATATGCTACTGGTGGTGTTTGGCACCGGAGACAACTATTTGTGGCTACACCAACAACCATTGAGTAAGACAGTTATTCTTCTTCTGTGTACTTTTACTTTCCAGGCTGGAATCATGTTTTTTGATCACTTATTTTTCTCTATACATGGTTGATGTTTAAGGAATTCATTTTTTTCTCTGGGATGTAGTAGGAATATTCGTATTGGTTTTGAGGAACCAAGAGAAATTGGTAAAGGGATTGAAGGTAGGGGGATTGGAATGATAAGAAGTGAGGCAACTAGGAAGGGTTGTACAGAATAGATGTAAATATGTAATTGATGATATTAGAACAAATTACCAAAGGGAGAGAAAGGCGCAAATTGTACCTTGTGAAAAGGGGTTAGGGCTGAGATAACAATAATCTTTTGTGAGGAGAATGCTTTTTAGTGTCCTTGGCATTGTTATCCTGAGATTGGATTATAAGGATCAATGTGAATGAAGATAATTTAGATGATTCTATTTTGGTAAGTCTGGTAAAGATTAGATTTTGATAGATATGGAACTTGACATTGCTAGAAGTTCTTTTCTGTTTAACTTATGGTTTTCTCTAGTGATTGTAATTAAGGATGGTTTGGTTTATTGTTTGGAATTGTAACTGTATGAGCTTTGTGGTTAACGTTTAAGTGTTTTGTAAACTCTCCTCTTTTGAATTCTGTTCACATTCTCTTTTCCTTTTAGAAAGCTTATTGAAATTTAATTGTAAAATAATTCACTTCCTAATTTTTGGTTCTTCTTTGTCACTGTCTCTATAGTTATTCTTTTTTTTTCCTGAGTTATTTGCAATACATAAGTGCTTGACTTGCCTGTTTCTATGTCAGCCCTCGGCTGATGTAATACATGTTAAGAAAATTGAAGAGTTGGGTTGTACAAAAGTTTGAAATGAGGGAAATTTTTTATAAAAAAAAAGCGATGGGAATTTTGTGTTAGGACAACTAAAAAATATAATTAGGCTAATTGCCTAATTGGGGTTGGAAGACTAGTGTTGGTCTGTACTGCAACAAAGTATTATAGTCTAATGCTCAGCTTATGCAGAAAATAATGTCAGATTTCAAAAAGAGACAAGAAAATTGGTGAAGCTAAGAAAATAATGAAACTGTTCAAATTCAAATTCAAAAAGAGAAAAAAAAAGCCATCTGCATGAAGCTTTGATCACTCCCTCTCTCTCTCTCTATATATATATATATATATTAACAATCCATTCCTTCAAATGTTTTAAAATCATATGGAAAATTGGTGATCTTTTGCTTTGGTGGGACTCACAGAATCTCAGCTTTATATGTTACTATGTATGTACACTAACACTGTTGTGAAACTTAGGTGTGTCTTTGTGGATGCTGGAGTTGCACCTATTGATATAGAAACAAAAAAGAGAAAAGAAGAGATGAAAATCAAAGAGGCACAAGCAAGATCTGTTGCTGAGCATGGAGAATTAGCACTCATCACAGTTGATGGTCCACAAGTTGTCACACAAGAAAGGATTTCATTAAGGCCTCCGATGCTGCAGGTAGTATGGTCTGAGGTTCTATTCATTCTAAATTGTTGAAAGTTTTTTTTCCTATCTCATTCTACTTTTCCTTTATTTCCTTTTTTGGATAAATGACAATTTTTGCAAAAGAGGGGGAACTAAAACGTTTGTGGGACTCGGAGAAGCCCCACCTTGTGCTTTGGATTGGTTGTGTTATTCGACTATGCTAGTTATCTTGAGCATGTGTTCTGTCTTTCCACATTCTTTCAGTGTCACTTAAAATCTTTTTGCAGCAGTGGAGATTTTTGTAATCATAAAATTCATTATAAATTTATAACGAGTACAAAGGGCCTGTAGTGTAAAATAAAATGATTGTTTGAAGATGCTTCTTTAGATCTTTATTCATTTTCATTCTGATTCAATGCAATCAATTTAACTCATTCCTTTGCATTAGATTTTCTTGGTATGATCAGTTTCAAGATATAAAGTAGAGGTTGATTTCAACTAAAGAAAGGTTTTCTCCCTTTCAGGTAGTGCGGTTAGCATCCTTTCAGAATGCTCCTTCTGTGCCACCATTTTTATCATTACCAAAACAATCTAAAGTAGATTCAGAGGATACTATACTGTCAAAAGAGATGGAAGAAAGAAAAACTAATGAGATAGCTGTTGGTGGTGGAGGGGTATCAGTTGCAGTAACACGTTTTCCTGCAGAACAGAAACGGCCAGTAGGACCTCTTGTTGTGGTGGGTGTTAGAGATTCAGTACTTTGGCTCATTGACAGGTACTTTCCAAGTTCCAAAGATATGTAATGCCAAGATTCCTTGCTTGTTAAGGCACAGATTCCTTTTCTTCCAAAATCTATCTACTTATAGTTATCTTGTGGTTTAGCAACTCAGTGAACACTTTTGTGTCTCTACTAGTATTATAAGCATGTAGTGTACTGGAAAATGTTTTTTTTTTCTCCCAAAAACAAAAGCTTTTAGGTTCCCTGTCTTATGGTTAAGTTGCTTTTGTTGACCATGTTAAATATGTATTCTTATCTCTTGCCACTTCCAGGAGGTAATGGTCAACATACATGGGGGGGGGGGGGGAGGATTTACCAAAGAGGTAAATCATCATCTAAACCTTGTCCTAACTATATGGGGTTTGCTACATGAATCCTGTTTTGCCAATCCATTCTGTTCAGTGCCATATCAATTGTCAAATTATGGGCGCTTAAATTATTTCTCACTACTTCCATCCAAGTCCTTTTCATCCTGCCCTGGCTCTTCTAGCCAAGGAACTTGTAAAAGATTAGTGCCTCCAATGGGTGCTGTAGATGGTCTTCTATGCACGTGACTAAACCACCTCAGTCTACTTTTATTTTATCACCACCCATTGGAGCTACTCCTAAATTCCTTCCTATGACTTCATTTTTAACCCTGTCGTTTCTAGTTTTACCAATCATCCGTCTAAGCATATGCAATTTTGTCATACTCATTTTTTGGACATGCTGTTTCTTAATTTCTCAACACTGCTTCTGGCCTTTCAAGTGCTTTATAGAACTTTCCTTTTGGCCAGAAGGTTATTTGTAATGCAAGATTTCAGATGCACCCCTCCATTTTTCCCATCCTGCTCTATGGTAACATCTTCAATCTCCCCTTTGTTATGAATTATATAACCTAGAGGACACATTGAGTTTTCTCTTGGTCTTCAATCCTAAGAGGTAAAGAAGCAAAGTTTAATACAAATGATTACTCCACATTGGCAGAGGATTAGAAAAGTTGCAAAGACCCTATGGTGCTAACAGTGCATGGTAGTACAAGCAGTACAATGATCAACTATTCCAAAAATATACTTTCCCTTGTAACATGATGTTTTATGTTCCATGGGCCATATTCAGCAGATGACTTAGTAGAAGCCTCCTCTACATTGACCCTGAATATCTAAGCTTTAATGGACATATTCTCCAATTTAGAAAGATGGACCATGATGTTGCTTCCATAAGGATCATAACTTCTAAACACAGTCTTCCTGCTGGACAAGAGTTATCTCCCTGCATTTTATTGCCCGCTGTCTATGCATCAATGAATTTACTGTGATCTGCCATACTCTACACAGTGTCAATAAGGTCTACAAGGATAGAGTCAATGTGTTGGAAATTACTGTAGAAAATCATGGAATTCTGCTCCTTACATGCCAACACCTTTGCGTGATATGTTATCTCCTTTTAAGAGGCAAGGAAGCGAGAAGAAAATCCTTATATAGTCCAAAGATGTCATTTGGAAGTTGCCACCAGGACCCAAAGAAGGGTACAAATATTCCAATGGTCTTCTTAAACTCTGAATCTCTCACTGATGCAGGCACAAAAGCAGAGAAAGAATCCTTGGAAAAAGGAAACTAAGATTCTTCATATTCCTGAAACAATGGAAAATTTGTACTTCTGGGGTCATTTGAAATTTGGTTTTTTATTTTTTGAAAGAATTACATGTCAATATTTTGGTATTTTAGTTTGTTAGTGTCATAGGAATTACATGTCAATATTTAGAAACTTTTCTTTTTTAGTAAAAGTCTATGTTATTATTTATGGCAACTTTAAGATTAACCAATTATAGTAATTCCTACAAATATGTAAAATGTGTTTTACTATTTTAGTAACTTCTGGGGTCTTAAGTTAGTTGTAGTAGGATCAGAAACTGTGATCAGAATTATTTTAGGTAGGGGTGCAACTTGAGTAGGGTTAAGTTAGGAATTTTTAAATTTTCAATGAGCCCGAGCCCAAGCCAGATGTAACTAAAATTCTTTTAATTGAGCTACCTAAATTGCACTCCTTATTTTAGGAGCTAAAGTCTTTATTTAAGTGTCCCTATGGATTACTTATTGGGTTGCCTCAGTTTTAAAGTACTTATAATTTGTTTTGTACTAGTTCCCTAGTTGAAATTAGAGTCAATAAAGGGAGTTTTGAGGCCTCATGCTTAGTCTATAAGCAGTCATTGTAATTGGAATTTTAGAATTGATTTAATGGAATAATAGTTTATATTGATGTTACCTGCATGTAATACTGTGATATTTTTCTCTTCTAAAAGTATGTTGCCTCTTAGATATAAAAAAAAGTATGTTGCCTCTTTTCTATTCAAATTTGAATCCCCCCACTCACCCATAATCTAGATCTTTAATTCTCCTTTTTGATACCACATCTACCCCAGTAGGACTCTCCTTCCCATCCTACATCACTCCCATTCCCAATCTAAAAATTACAACCAAACTTATATCCATGATCCCTTTTAGCAGGCCAACCTCATATGGTATTTTAAATTGACAAGAATCAAATCCCATATTACATGTTCCATATTTTTCAGCCGAAACTTCCTCCACATTGACTCTTGTTCCAATGCAAGTATCAATAGCCATTTTCCTAGTAAAGTATGGYTCATTTGCATTATGTTTGAGAACTCAAAGCTTTTGCCCTTTTTTACATGGCCGTTGCCATTTTCCATGTGAAGTTTCTTTTCTCCACGTTCTCTGCAGAAAAGGTCACTCTAAGGTTCCAAGTCCAAGGAGCAATTTGCATTGGGGAAGAGCTCCTCCAGCATAATATCAGGATTCCTTGTGATGCTTGTTTTATAGGTACCTAATTAAGGTTATGTATGGCATCCCAGCTACTCTGTAGGGTTAATGAAAGAAAAAAGGCTCCAAATCTTAGGGTGATAGTATCTGTTACTATCAGGACGTATCAACCATATAAAAACATCCTGAAGATACCGAATATGAAAGGGAAAGCAAAAGAATAAAAGAAAAAGAAGAAAATGAATGGGAAGAGAAGAGGAGAGAAATCTGTAATCTAACTTAAAGTTCAACAAATCTGTAATCTAAGAACTATTATAAAACAAAGTGAAGAGACCATAATACCCCTAGTAAGTCAACTACTCTTAACACTCCCCATCAAGCTGGAACATGACTATCATACATACCCAGCTTCTTACAAAGATGTACCACTCTTAACTCGTTCAAGTTCTTAGTAAACAGTTCTGCCTGTTGACCATCTGACTGCACAAAACTGTAGAAATAGTATTTTCCAACGGCTTCTCTCGAACAAAATGATCAAGTTCTATATGTTTCGACCTCTCATGGAAAACTGGGTTGGAAGCAATGTGAACAGCTGAGTATCACAATATAACTTTTGTGCCATTGCCCTATACTCTGATTCTACACTACTTGCCACCACCCTTTGCTTCTTACTTTTCTAAGTCATTAAATTGCCACCAACAAATGTACAGTATGTAGTAGTGGACATTATATTACCTATAGAACTAGCCCAATTCACATCAATATAGCCTTCAATCTCCAAATGACCATTCAGCTTATATAACAGACCACAACCAGGTGCTCCTTTTAGACTTCTAACTATCCCAATTATATCTTCCCAATGAAGAATCTGAGGACTCTACATAAACTGAATTATTACACTTACAACAAATGAAATATCAGGTTTTGTGATAGATATTAGGATCTATGAAGTTTCAACAAGCAGAACACCCAATTTCTTAGTTGCTTCAAGAATATCTAGCACATACTTCCTCTAACATAGGTTGATTCCATGATGTGACCATACCACTTTCCCAAGAAATAGCAAGTGTGCCTAGGTCTTGGTTTGCAATGCTGCTATAAATTTTTTAAGTCTTTCTATTCCCATAGAGCAAGTTTCAATAATCACAATTGTAGGTACATAGTGGTCGCTCAAACCATCAGAGCACAAAAGGTGTCATATTAATACCAGATGGATGCTTGCGATGAATCCATAACCCATCGCACGTTTGCGATGAGTTCATAACCCATCGCACGTTTGCGATGAGTTCATAACCCATCGCACATCTGCAATGAACTCATACCCGAAACAGGTTGCGATGAGCTTTGGCCTATGCGGATCTGCGATGAATCTTAAACACGCGAACTTGCGATGAGCTTTAGACACGCAGATCCGTGATGAACTTTTAGTAGGTGTGGAATTACTGTAGATCGGGAACAAATATCAGAAACACGTGCGTCTTTAAATTATGTGAATGACGGGACGCCCCATGGGCCTAGTAGAGGCGAGCAATGTAAATAATGATGTCACCCGCGCCATGTCAGTTTTAAGAGTCACAAAAGGAAGAAGCATACGTGGATTATGAGAATCCTTAAGAGAAAGGAAACCCTGTCTTCGAGGGATCTCGTCAGACACRTGGAAAAACCCCAATGATGCCCCATTAGTAGTCAACATAAAGAAAAGATCACCTTTCCTAATAGGAAAGGTCTCCTTTAGATCCCTCTCCTTATAACCGTGGGGTCCTCTCTATATAAAGGGGAATAACTCTCCCCACGGGGGATAGACAATACAATATAACTTTSACCTAGGGTTTCTCACAAGGAGATCCTCCCTTCTCCCCTCTCTTCTTCTCTCTTCCCCGCGACCTCTCTTTCCCATTGCCTTCTCCGGACCTTCGGAGACTTGACCAACCTCCATAGCCTTACCATGGCACAAACAACAATATCATTAGTATTAATTACCAATATCATCTTACCAGCCATTGTATCACAACTAAACACAGAATGATCAACTTTGCAATGCTTTAGTTTAAACTATTTCACAACTTAACTAAACCTACGAAGCTAGGCCCTAAGGGATTGCTTCCGCCTATAAATCGCCTTCCTCAACTTACACACCTTATAACTCCTCCCCCTGAGCAACATACTCAAGAAGTTGCTCCATATGTACTTCTTCCTACAAGTTGCCAAGATAAAAAGGCATTTTAACATCTAGTTGGAACTAGTGTTTTAAAAGGTGTGGGAGGTGTATGCCTGGAAGCGCGCCTCCAGGTGAAGCTCTCCCAAAACGCCCTGGTGTCACGGGGGTAGTTCTACAGCGGAAGAAACCCGTGCGGCGTCCTGGCCAAGGCAGGCCAGGA